GCGTATTGCTGTCTACTCATCTCAGGCTGCATGCAGTAGCAGGCAAAATTGAGAATACAGGTCAGTGAGAGAGTCCAGAAAGCACATTCATATGTTAAAAAGGACCCGGCTGCTCCTCCTGCAGCAGCCGTTCCTTGCTGCTACCTAAATTATAAGCGTGATTAATACTGTATCAAAACGTGTGTAATCCCTCTCCCTCTAGACACTAATATAAGGCAAGCAGTATTGTGTCACTGGGGCATCAAACACTAAGATATACTAAAGAAGATTCCTATGCATTGTTATTGTTATTATTATTTTTAAAAAACCCTATTTTTATTGTTAAAAACCCAACCAACCCACACCCTTGCTCTAAGCAGATTTTGCTCTGTGATGCAGAAAAGTCAGGGTGTCTGTGTGCTAAAAGCAAGAGTTTGCTTTTAGACGGCTGAGCAGCAGTGACCCACGCGGGGCTGGGAGGGGAGGGGGCTGCCACCCTTGCCCCTGTCCCATGGCCCTCCACATCGCAGCCTCAATGTTACTCGCAGGTGAAGGAGCTTTTGTATCTGATTTCCTTGTTTCTGGTTCACGGAAAGGAAGCTGCTGAAAACAGAAGATGGTGACCCATGATGGACGGTGGGTGAGAGGATGCAGGCGTGGGCTGGAGGACCACAGGCGTGCTGGGACGAAAAGGATGGAGGCTCGGGGCTCACACATCCTGAGGGTTCACATGAGCATGGATGGAGAAACAGAAATCCTCAGCCTGCTCCTGGGCTTTTTAACATTCTCAGTAAAATACTCACTGCTAAGGGTCTTTATATGGGATAACTTAGGAATTTCAATTCATCTTTTAATACTTTCATTTTGGTTTTAGCAATAATATTGCTGTGACCACTAGTGGTCTGAGGATATAAGGGAAATGAGGTTCGCAGTAGCTCCCTCTTGAGAAAAATGTAAGTAAATGTGGTTTTCTTTTCTCTTGGATGACTGTTAGGAAGGGGAGCATTTGTATCTGAGGTGATGCTCTGGTTTCTCAGGTAGATTATACAAACTCGTTCTAAAAATTCACATAATTTAAAATCTTAAAAATCAATTAAAATGTAAAAATATACCTATTTATCTGTAAATAGTAATGACCCTGCAGAATTTATTTGGATCTATTAAGCAACATTTGAAACTAAATACATTTTTAGAAAACCTGATCTATCACATAGTCTGTCTAAAGAAATAGAATAGCTTTCTGAGCTGGACAAGAGGTTTGTTTTCAGTGAGTTCCTTGACATTTTTGTTTTAAAAATTATTAATAAGAAAATGAGTCAACAAGGAAATTCACATACAAAGTCTGCACTTGAGTAACATTAAAGTCCCTTCCCAAATGTTGGGAAATTCGATTTATGGCTAGTGCTCTGTTCCTGCGTCTCGGGGTCACGTCTGAAAGGCCACCTGCACAGAGACTGCGACATCTCCAGCCACATCTCCTGTTGGGAGACATGAACTCATGAGACATCTTGAACTCACACTTGGACTTGAAGCATCCAAAAACTGACTGTGGCTTCAGGTCCCAGCCTCAGGGATTGTTCCATCCCACAGGCAGGGCCATTTGCAGTGTTTCTGTTCAGACCTAGACCCAGATTCTAAAAAAAAAAAATAAATTAAATAAAAAATCCAAAAGCTTCTTGGCGACCAGATCCCAGGCTCTGGCCCAAGGTGATGGCTTCATGCTCAGCACAGGTGCTCCTTGAAACCAGGCTCTGTGCACACAACTGCGCATGGGCATGGGCAGCCCTGGACCAGCTCAAGGTGGCCTGCTGGATATTTGGCTTTCACGTCTTCTTCAGCTGTCCTCGGTCTCCTCTATCCACACTTGGCATTGTCTAAACCTTGTTTCTGTTCTCCAAAAAAATACAGAACCAAACTTGAGAGGAACAGGGGAGCAAAGACCAGCCCAAGAGACACTCAGCAGAGGGACAAAGGTTGCTTGTCCATCCTTTCAAAGGTCTTTATCATTAGGGCTGCATTACTAGCAAAAGAAAACCAATGTATTTTCTTTTAATCTAGTGGTTAACACCCCTTTGGGGAGATTACCACCAGGAGTGTGTGATACAAGCATGGGGGAACTGAGGGATTGGAAGTGAAGACTTTGCAGGATTTAGGATAGGAATGAAATTATTTATGTCAATAAGCAACAAGCAGGCTCTGTTCTCATTTAAGAGGCATAAATAATTTCACGGAAATAAGGAGCATTATTCACAGCTAATTCTGGTGTAAGTTAAACCAAAAATCCAGGTTAAGCTGTTTTGCCTGGATGAACGAGACCTGACAAATTATGGCACGGCTGTGGATAGAGACATGTGTGAGAATTTCTTTGAAAGGATGCCATGGATAAAGGTGGAATATGTCCTCCACCTTCCAAAAAAATTTATGTGGGAATTTTGTAGCAGCAAGATAGAATCTGTGCTGCATTTCTGTATGTCCTGTTCCTCCTCAGACCACACCAGCAGTATCTCCTTTCAAGTGTATAACATCAACTGGGCAGAAGAAAGGGTTTTTGCAGTAAGAACTATGAAAATGGATATTCAAACTAGAGCAGATAGGGCTTCAAAATGAGGATATGATGAAAATTACATCCCGTAAAAATTGTGCCTTTAAGTCCTGCTGACTTTGCCACCTACACTAAAGACCAGTCATGTACCTGTGCTGAAACTGGACCATACGACATCATCCTCATCCTCATCTGGAGTTTCTGCCTTTATATTTCTGCCCTTCTGTGCCAAATTTCCAGCAGGCCTCAAAAAGTAATTGCAAACAAATAAGTTAATAAATCTTCGTTACCTCTGGCTTGAACAAAATTTGCAGTGAGCAGCTGGCTGTAGCAATGTTGATTTTTGCCTTGCCCAATGCAATTTTCATTCTTGTGGTCACTGGAGGCAAAAGGTGTTTGGGAGCACAAGCAGAGAGGGAAAAATTGCAGGAGGTAACAAAAAAAATGATCAAATGGGAAAGCAAGGAACTAGCATGGCTGGAAGCCTAGGTTCCCGCTAAGAAAAAATGTTACCCTCCTGAATAGTGAAAAACAGCAGGAAAAAATGTGCAGAGCCTTTCCCCACTCCTCAATCTCAGGTGAAGAGCAGTGTGTTGGTCCTGAGCACCAGCAGAAGGATGGTTTTATTTCCTGTCTGCAAGCTCTCAGACTGCACCCACAACTCCTCTAAGGCTAAAATAGCACTGGGGCTCCCCTGGTTGCTGCCTCTTGTCAAGCAAATAGGAGGAGAGAGAAAGGCTGTGATTCTCCCTTTGCCCGAAGCAAGTCAACGTTCAACCTTTCAAAGGCCACGCAGAAATGAAGTTGTCACCTAAATATTCTCAAAGCCTATGGGGATATGTGGAGAGATGGAGTTTGAAATCACAGACATAGCCCTGGCAGAAAACACGCGTCGGATTTGGGCTGTAGATACATGGGAGGGTTCAGAGGCACAATGCCGGCCATGGTGTCCCAGCCCTGGAGATGGATCCCAAACACACATTTCCTGATACACCTCCTTGAAGAAAAGTACAACCAACCTATCCATGTAAAGGATCACTTTGTGACTTCATTTTGGTCCCAAAAGAAACTTTGAGCATCACTTTTCCCCTTGTCTTCCCCCAGCTTGAATGCGCTGCTGAGGACCCCGGTACTGACACAAAGATCTTTCCAAGAGAAAGTACTTTAACAACATCGAAATGGGACAGACTTGGGTTGGCACAACTTGCGGGCAAGCACAGGTAAGAGGCTTCTGAAAGACCACGAAGAAATGAAGAAGCACCTCTTAACTCAGCTTGAGGGCTCCAAACAAAACCGAAGGATGTCCCGAGAAGATGGGTGTGTGATTCTTGGCAGGGCAGAAGAAGAAAGGGAAGATTTTCACGGGGCATAGTGTGTGCAAAAGTGTTCAGGCACGATGCAAACTGTAAGAAAAGGGCCTGTTCTGACCAACAGGGCTTCAAAAGGATGGAGCTCAGCACTTAACTCGCAGCAACGCGTGACCATAGCATCTTGCATATCCACCCTCTCCCTTTGGCCGTGTGGCTGTGCCTCCACAACAGCACTGTGGGCCATGAGAATGGCTTCACCCCGTGGCAGCCCTCTAGAGGGGCTGCCTTTGCTTCCAAAGCATCTCCAAGTCTGCTGTCAACGGGAGGAGAGATAATTAAATATAATACATGGTTTAAAACATAAAATCCCAGCCCCGCAATCTCTTGCCCTTCTTCTCTGTCTCATTTCCCTGCCCTCTGTGTTGTCTCTCTTCTTGCACTCAAGCTCATATTTCTGAGTTTTTCAGTTTCCTAAGATGCAATAATTCCCAACCTGCTCTTGGTATCCTAACTTGTCCCGCTCTGAGGCCATGTCTTCTGTTCATGCCAATATTCCAGCCACCATCCCTTTCCTCCAGGGTCCTACGCAATTTTTCCATGTATTATATTGGAATTATACCACCTTCCTGACGGTTAATGAGGAACCACAGAGTAACAACCCTCCCCCCATAATTACACGTGACCTGAAATCTAAGCCAGAAACAGACACGTGTTCATTCCACAACTCCAAAAGACCTAAAGGTGTAATCACCAGTGCCATGGCATGGCAATTTCCGCTAAGACTTGTCAGCCACCAATTACTGTGACCTCCAAAAGCCATGGCCGGGTGATTTATTCCTGCCCTGCACTTCTGAAGATTCCCAAGAAATGCAAATTGCCTACCCTGCACCATGAAATAATTTCACCTAATGATCTTAGAAAGAGAGTATGAAAGAAATCTGGACTTCACGGCTCCAGTTCGCTCACCACCGTGACCTCTTCCACAAATGCAGGCTCGGACCTGCTCGTTTTACCCCCCAGAGTAAGCTGCAAGAAAGTATCCGCCAGCTAAGGATGTCCTAGAAGGAGGAAAGCCTTAGCTGTCAATCTCCTTGAGAAGTTGGACGCGTGGACAGCTGGAGCGGGCAGCTGCCAGCGCTCGGACGTGGCTCGGCGGCTGCGAGAAGGCTTCACTGCCTGGGGGCTGACCAGCCCATGTCACTGAAAGGTCCCTCGCCCGTGGCCGACCTGGGAGGAGGACCGCAGGGCGTGCAGAGGTCAGAATCGGTGTCTGATTCCCCTTCTGCAATGTAAGGTCTGATTTTGGCCACGGCTGCATAGCAACCGTTGTTAAGGATGTCCAAATTCTCTTTGGACTGGGAGATGCTAAAGCCGCTGAAAGAGCGCTCCAGTTCCTCGTGGTCTACCGAGGGGATGGAGATGGACGTGTCGCTGTCTCTCATGGCGCTCTCATGGTGTTTGGTTGTAATGTCTTCGTTCCTCAGGTACTCTGCGCTCGCCCTGTGCCCGCCGCTGTATGCTGACAAGGAACGCTCGTGGGAGGGTGGAGGTGGGATGCGGACTAGCGAGCCAGGGTCTCCAACAGGCGAGGACCCATGGCTTTGCCGCTGGTAGACCTGCTGCTGGCATGACGTTGAGGGTGGGCATGTGTTGGTCGGGGCTGGCGGGGCAGAGAAGTTCTTCTGACCCATGGAGCTGGTGGACCTGATGATCTTGATGATGCAGCCATTCTTGTCAATGTGCTCCCTACTGTCTTCGGGGCTGTGGTAGGGAGGTGCTGGGTCTGGTTCTTTGGACCCAAAATAAGCCTCTGTCTCCGTTGGTGGGATGCCCATCCGCTGCATGTAAATGTTCACCAGGAAGTCCAGCTTCTTCTCCATCGACTGAACCTGCAAAACACCACAGTTCCAGTGCTGCATACAGGTTGAAGCACATTAACATCCTGAGTACAAGCATCGTACAACCCATCTAGGCACAAGTGTGGCTCTGGGCTTCATAGATGACCTCTGCCTACACTGACCTACACCAAACTGAAACTTCTAGTGAATATTTAATTACCCTTTTCTGAAAAAAAAAAGAACCAACAATTTTCCACCTTTTTACAGGGTTTTCCTTAAGCTCCTATAACCTTTTTTGATGTGCACCAAATTCCAGGAAGGCTGAAGCACACCTGTATCCTTCCTGTGGCTTTCAGCTCCTCACTGCATTTGGCACTTGCCTGGGCTCAGATGGAGATTTCTGAGCCTTATCCTCTAGGAAGATTTTAATCTTCACTGAGGCCAGCACCTACAGCAGTCAGGCTCATGGACTCATTTGAAACATGAGTTTGGTGGCAAAGAAACTAATGTGCCATTTTTAAAAAGAATGTAGGTTTTTTTGTAAACTCACTAAAAAAAGAAAGACTACATGCCACAAACTCCAAAGTGACTGTTTTGAAAATTATACTTAGGCTTCTAAGACATTTAGTGCACTTTCATAACATCCACCTTGTTTCTTTTTCAATAATATTCTTAGCTTTTATTATTTTTTTTCCTAAATGAGGGAGAAATAAGGCAAGGAATAAACAACTCAACGCATGCAACACCATCTGATAAGAACCCCACTCCTGACCCAATATACCTGTTTTTCAACTTTTCCAAGCCTGCCCATCATGCTGGGGTCTTCAGGCAGCTCCCCCTCCGCTGGCCCTTTGGTCCGATCCTTGTCAGTCATGGAGGATCCTCTCCCAACGATCTGGTCAACTCTACCGGGATCAGAAAATTGCCCCCCCACCCCCGGAAAAGGACCTGGAGTCAGCTGGAGGCAGCAGGCGAGGAGGGCTCCGCTTGTCGCGCCTTCGTGGGACAAAGCAACAGCCTCTCTCCCAACTAACACTCCAAATTACTCACAGACACGCAGTGGCACTGAAGTGTTAATTCAGATGCAAAGTTCAGAGCAGTATTAGCAGAGTTTGAAATTATCTATTTCTGTTTATACAGATAAAACCTGGCACATTATGCACAGTAAATTTACCCACTGCAAAGAATTTCTTTAGCTGGCTTTCTTCCAAATCAATTACCTTCTTATTTGTACTGAGAAATTATTATTTTGGGGGAAGATCAAGTTTTCTGCCTAGCATATGTCAATGGGATTTTTTTCAGTCTTTGCAGCAGTTTCCTCTCCTCAATGCAAATGTAAATATGTAATTCTCATGTCCACAAAAATGAGCTGCTTGCCCTAAGATCCAAACAGGTGTGGTGCTGTTTTAGTGGAATTGCATCAAGGCTGGATTTGGTCATAACACACCAAACATTACCAAATTGTCTTCACCTCAATGCTATGGCAATTCACACCTGTAACATTAGATGCCTTCTATTAGCAGGGCCCCAAGCCAGTAACAACAGAGGACACACTCACAAATCAGCAGCTAAAGCTACTGGGCATGTTGTTTGGCACTAACGTAATTACACATTACATTTGCAATTTCTCATTCCCAGTCTAGAAACACCTGGGTTGATATAGAGCTCTGTATGCAGAGGAAGAAGGAGGGCAGAGCCAGTTTAGAAGCTGGAATTCAATTTTAGCTGAGGCACCAAATAAAAATTTTCTAGAGAGTAACCACCAGAGCTTCTTGATCCCTCAAAAGTCAGGGGAGGAACTCAGTTTTGGAATAGCTTCTTAATGGCAGCCCAGTTTGTAACCTAATTTTACATCAGGCAAACTTTACTCTTGCATAATGCACCAAACGTAAGGGTGGCGGGGGAAAAGAAGGGTTAATTACTCTGACTGAAACCAAGTTGAGGTATCTTGAGCGGAAAACTCAAAATGCTTCTTACGCAGTTCTGCCGTGTGGGCCATGGGTCCATGCACCAGGAGGAGGAAAAGGAAGGAGCTGAACGCAGACAGACAGGGGAAAATGAGCAAACAAAAATCAAGGAAAGGAATGAGACGTGAGGGTATTTCTAACACAAGAGCCATTTGTTGTCTTTACATTTGACAGAGACTTAATACATATGTTGGCTGTTGACATTAAGGGACAGATACTGGTGGGTATGGGCCAGTGTGGCTCCCTTGGCTTATATGAGAGCAACAGCAGTTACAGCACCAGAAGACCTGGCTCAAGGAAATGAACTGGATGAGCACATCACACCAAAGACAGAAAATAGAAGCCATCAATTATTTTAGATTTTATCTTTGATCCCAGAAGATACTTCATTTGGGCAGGGATATGACAGAATACTGTTCTGTTTAAAAAGTCGTGTTTGATCCTTTGCTTATCAATATAAGCACAGGAGTACAGGGAGCACCAAGTGCTATAATCACAAGTGTGAGGAATATGCATGCCTTATTTCTCTCTTGTAATGGGAGAAGGAAATCACTGATGTACAGGAACTCCCCACAAGGGATGCAATTACTGACATGACATAGAGCACAAGAAATCCTACGACAGTGTTGCTACCATGTAAGCAAAGAGGTATTGAATTGGATACCTCGGGCTACCTTGGTTTGGAATCACAAGTCAAGGCGTAGTACAGCCACTGTACGAACTCCTCTCCTGTATGCACAAGCAAGTAGACTAGTGAAACAATGAACATGTGTTTAAAGAGGCACAGAGTCTAAACGCTACTGGATATTGCAGAAGGCCAAGAACAATCGGGGTGCTCTGTCCTTGTGTCCCATTCAGCACATCACTAACACTGAAATGCGTCCACTAATGGAAATGAGATGTCCTTCAACAGTTGCTGAGTAGAGCAGGGAGGCAAGACAGACTGTAACAGAGAGAGGAAAACTGAACATTGCTGTGCCACGGTGTATCGTAACAGCAGAGATAGTCTTGTGCAACCCTATTTCTAATCCTGCAGAAATTAAGGCATAAATTCTGCTCTCTTCCATGTCCTTAAAGAGAAGAGCTACCCAGTAAGTGAACCTTACATGACCCATGTGAAGCACAGGAGGCCAGCTGGTGCTTCACAGATGGAGTGACCACCAGTATCATATAGAAGAGCACTGACTTCTTCCATCACCTTCAGGCTGGACACAACTTGCTTGTAGACCTGCTGTGATTTAAAAGCAGGACTGATGCCCTTCACAGAGCTCACTTATAAAGCATTCAGAAGCCTTTGCCCAGATACCATTGATACCAGAGCCCAGCAGAATTTCTACCTGATTCATTCCCTTTGTGTCTATACTTTAACATAGTCTTGACTATGGTCATCTTCCACAGCTCTGAGAAACCGCAGAACCAGATCTTGCCTTGGTCTGCACTGAGGACTGTGTGGTGGGCAGCTGTGGGCCACCGACTTCAATGCACAGAGGGGAGAAGAAGGTGAACCAAGTCCTCTCTTGATGGGAGAAAATAGGCTCGAGGTCTCCCATCCCTCTGCTTCCTTCCCATGGCAGAAGTTAGACCAGAGGAGGGTGCTCCCACACTCAGCAAAGCACAGAGATTTCATTTACGCTTTATCTGGTACAAGCAAAGAGAGGAATTTCCTCATGAGCTCCCAACCCACCTGTACCTAGCTGAGGACTGGAAAGAGCAGGAGGTCCTTTTAGCCATTACAAAAGAGAGTCTTTGTCCAAATTGGGTAGCAAAGCTCAAAAGATGAAGAAGAGAGAACATATTCCACCTTTGCAAGCAGAGGGAGATAGTGTATATGTTCCTACTGCATGCCAAAGGACCACGACACTTCTGAAATGCCAGACCTCACTACTGCACTGCATCCCATGGAGAGGCCTTGTATCTTCCCAACACTTATTTTGGCTGTACCAAATACACATGTGCAGAGGGAAGAATTCAGCCGAGGCTTTGGCAGAATCAGCCCCGTGTTTTTCCTTTCGTGGCAGAAGACGATTCAGAAATTCCTACCGATGTACGACAAACTGTGCCACCTGCTGTCCTCAATAGGCTCTGCTGGGTCTTAGTTTGGGAGGGAGAGAGAAAGGGGGTTGCTCTTTAAAGTGAACTTCGATATCTTTCCTTCTTTCTAATGATACAAAAAAAATGTAAAGTCTTGCATCAGCCACAGTGCAGGTTTTCTCATGCTTCATTATGCTTCATGCTAACAGTGCATGCAAAGAGGTGTAATATGTCACCCTCGGGCCAGAAGCAGACATCAAAAGGTCAAACGGCTCAAATGAGATAAAAATGAAGTGTTTGGGGATATATATTCAATTCTTTTCTTTTTGTGTTATCTCTTATAATTTTCTGTACACAATCCAGGCATTGAAGCCAAACCCCCTTCATCCATGTCACAGGACTGGCTACTTACCTCCTCATTTGGCAATAAAGTTTGCTCTAGACATGTTTTGACCAATATTTGTTCTCTAAAAATTACAGCTGAGGTTGCACCTATTCTATGCTAATTCAGCTGATCAAGGGAATTTAATCCAAATTGTCTGTGTGCATGGAGCAAACACCTTCAGCCAAACCACAGTTACGGACATCCATGAAGGTGTCCTAGGAAACTTTTGGCTGAACCCTTGTCACTAGAGCACCCCAATACAATCCATGGGGTTTTGACAGCTCATGGGACATCACTCAGTTTTTTTCCCTTACTGGAGGTTTTCTTATGATCTGGGCAGCATTTGGCTAAAATAAGGGTGTGAAGCCTAAGGAGGAGAGGCTGGTGGAGTCCATAGGGACCACACACCATGTGCACCCATGGCATGGACTTATACTATATTGTCCAGGAAGATGATGAAGGCCATGGCAGCAGCAGAGCCTGACCCAGAGTTTTTAGATTTGGGCTCAGGGCTGCTCAGAGCTCTGGTTCCCATCCATCGGGCACCTCGAGTCCCTCACAAGTCCCACTGGTGTCTGTGGGAGGATGCAGCTGCCGAAAATTAAGCACAGTGTAAGCCTTTTAATGGGTGGGAGCAGAGATCTCAGCAGCCTTCTGTACTCTGCTGCTTTCTGGAGCCTCTCAGCCACAGCTCAATAAAGAAGAAATGAGAAAATTGATTAAAAAATAGAGCAATTATTAAAAAAAAAGTCTTAATGTCCCAGGAGCCTAGTGGGCATGTGTGAACAGATTTTTAATCTGGCCTTTAGCATTAGAAACTGTAAAAAATGTGTGTGGGGGCAAGTCATTAACATTAGGCTGATATAGCAACAGACTTAGAGTGAATAAAATAAATATCCCAGCTTGAGGCTTTCCCCCCTAGTATCCATCAATCAAATCTTGCTGCCAGTGAAGGCTTGTTGCACACCTAATCTTAAAGGTTAAATACAACAAAATCCATTTGAACATGTATTTTTAGTTTAAAATCAAAATGCTGCTGCATGTAAGAAAGTTATTTCATTTTTGAAGACTAGTTTTGGACCTCATCATTTGGCAGGGAGGAGAAACGGGAAAAATGCTTTTCTGAGAGCATCTTTTTTCCAAGCATAAATCTTGGTGCTTCTGGAAAATTCTCGTATATTTTTTAATCTCTGAGCTAGCTGAGTGGGAAAAGGTAAGCTTTCAATATTCCTTTTACTCACATTCCTCTGGTGAAGATTACTCAGAGCAGCTTAAATAAAAATCAAGAGATTTGTCACGTATTAGCTCTTGGGGAGGGCAAGTATATTTAGAAAAAAAATATTTGAAGCTAAGCTTGCTGCATTTAAAAATCATCTACTATTTGTGCATGGAAAATTACTTTCTGGCAAATATTTACAACTGCCTCGGGCTCCGGCGGTTTCAATACAAGGTGAAGACAGAGTTTAGCTCACGGCCCTGCGGACCGGACCTCAGAATGCCCTAAAATGGGCACTTCACTGAAAATACATTTCATGCCATACCTCATGGCATCAGCTTCAGGTAAAGTTTTACCTTAGGACAGAACTTAATAAAGGCAATGAGAAAAATCTCACTGCATGACTACGGGCTGGGTTTGACTCCTGCTCTTCTTTTTGCTTGCAAAATCAGGAATATCTTTTTTTTTTTAATATGAGTCCCATGGTTGTAATATTTTAACACATGGTGGTCGGTAGAGTTGAAACAGCAAGAAAAAGAGACCACTGTGTTCCCTGGGTATGAAACACTTCATTCTTACTTTGCCCACTGAAGTGAACTGATTTCATAGCACAAAGAACTGCGAACAGAGGCTCCTTCACTTGTGCGTGGAGTGTTTCATCTTTTAGAATGATAGTTCAGTTTACATTGGCTTTGTGGGTAAATATTTCACCTTTTACATTTGAAGATAGGCTTATAAAATAAGAGATTTTGAAAAGAAACAATTTTGCTTTCTAACACCTAGAAGAAGACTGAAAATAAAAAGTACACTAGCTGAAGAAACTGATGGTTATTGATGACTGCATGAACGTCCCTTTTGTTTTTACCTTTGGCTTGCCTAGTGCGAAAACTCATTGCTGAAACAAATCAGAGCATACCCAGAGTAGCAAACCCTTATAAGTCACGATTTAGCAAGCTGCACTGCTAAGGGATAAATGCCGTCATATAACTGGCATGAAAGGGGTTTGACATTAAGCAAATGAAAAATCCAGAGAAAGCGGCATTTTGGTGAATCCTAACCTAGGCGAGTATTGGGGAGATTCTTTGGAAGAATACATGGGTCCTTTGGTTGGATACTTCTTATGCCGGGGAGTTGAAGGGGGCGGGGGACCCACAATCATATCTATCCTGGCAAAGTAAATAAGAAAAAAGACACCAGCAAAATGCATAATGAAGCAACACGGAGAGAAAAGTTGGTCAGAAAAGTTGCAGAAAGAAACAACTGAAAAACAGAACGACAGAGAGAAAAAGAGAGAGAAGATGAAAATATATTCCGCTGGAAACAGAAGGCTCTGTCCTACCACCGGGTTGTTGGTGAAAGCCAGAGTCTTACCCACCCCAGGGTAAGATGTGGATATTTAGGCACCACTGAAACATCATTAGGAAATCCCCCCACCCCAGATATAACAGGCAACATGCTTCACCCTTTGGAATATATTTGCATATGTGTAGCAATATCCCATTGAGGTGGCTGGATATGAAACAACATATATTCATTCTCCTTTCCGTTCCAGTGCTAGATAACACATCCTCAGCTTGCTCAGAAAAGCATGAGCTGTTGGAGTCAGTGAGTTACGCCGCGGGATTGTGTAACTCAATGAATGGGAGACATCCATGGTTGGCAAGGAGTCAGGATGAGACACGAGACAGTGTGAACACAACACTGAAAAGAGCACATTACAGACACACCACAGTGACAGAGGCATTAATGATTAAAGAGGAAAGTGCATGTAAACACTCCAGAAATTCACTTGAATGCAGCTTTAATCCACCAAAGCCCTGGCTACGGGAGGTCACAGCCAGCCTTGTTGAGCTGAGCTGGCAGGGAGAACACAGGGCTTTGATTGCTGAAGGAAAGGGAAATAAAAATATCTGTTCTCCTCTGAGCTGCCCTGTGAAACCCTCCCTGGGCTCCACTGCATGGGTGCACTGTACTTCCAGTGCCAGTTGGTCGTGCCTCAATGTTGGCCATGGCTACCCCAGGCCATCTTGACTACAGGTGGCCCTTACAGTTCTACCAGGCAAGTGACCAGCCATGGGACCTCTTGGTGCCTATCTGGCTATGATGATGAGTGCTTCAGTGGATGACCCCAAAGGAGTCTGCTCCCATCATCATCACTGGTCTCCTGCTCACTGGGGACAGTGAAACCAATGAAGCTGCCTGGTAGGCCTGGATCCCAAATCCAAAAAGCAGCTCCTGGTCCTCCTGATGTCTCTGCTTTGAGGTGGATAGCCTAGTCCAGCCCCAGCAACCTCAGCCTCTCAGTCCCACAGGTACAGCTAAGAGGAGAATTGAGTTTGAAAGCTGCTGCTCGTTTACCTCAACCCCCTCCAAAAAGCAGCCAACCAAACCCCTTTGCCTTTGCAGCACATCACTCCAAAGGATCGGCAATGGGTGACTTGGGTGGATGGCGAGGCAATCTGCCACACTAACTTGGGGGGTTGAAAATTTGGGTGTCCCACCTGGAGCCAGTGGAGATGGCAACCCCAATGGCTCACTACCCACTGTGGAGGCAGCCCAGAGGCCTCATGTTTCAGGTTATTAAATTTAGGATATATAAATCGCCTTCTCTACCTCTTCCCTCTCTAGATTCAGCCACACATCTTAGATCTATAATCACTGAATTCACACTGAACGGGGGTGAGAGGCTCAAAGATGGGAAATTCTCCAGGATATTTTAGTCTCCATCACAAGGGAGAAGTTACCTTCTGGCTGCATGTCTGGAAATGGGAAGCGCGCAGTGTGCAGCAGCACTGAGAACGTTACCTCTGCTGCTCGAACATCAAAAATAGCAGAGTTAAAACAGTCTCTGAGAGATTAACAGCAGAAGAGAGATCCCTCTTTTTCCTAAGACCATTTTCCTACTCCATTCCTGGGGTTCATATTAGCTGCTTGCATACCCTGACATTTTTTTGCACATTTGCTGACTCTACCAGGGTCCTAGATGGGTTTGAAATTAAAGCAAAACTTCCTCAGTGGCTCGAGAGGAAGCTGGGCTGCCACAGCCATCAAGGGAAATACTTTAATTCTCCAAGTATAAAAGTAAATGGTATATTATTTTGACTGAAGATAGCCTATGGACAAGCCCTGTCTCTGTTCTGGGTGTCCTTCAAGCTCAGCAGAACTGAGGCTACTTCTGCTGAGCTGGCACAGCTAGGGGTGCTGGGGGTTTAGGGTCTCATTTTCAATGTGGGAGATCAGGGCTGAGGGAGGAGTGGTCAGACACAATGGTTTAGCCCAGATCCTCTGTTACAGGAACCAAATTAATCTGTTGTTTTTTTTTCAGGAGAAAATTAAATTTTAAATGCCTTTCTTGGTTCCTTTGTCCCTTTCTCACTTTTCTTAACTCGTTAAACTAACTAATCTCCCCCTAAAATTTGAGCACAGAAGCTGAAATGCAGCTCCCAGATCCTGTTACAGGAACCAAATTCATCTGGTTTTTATTTTCAGGAGAAAATTAAATTTTAAATGCCTTTCTTGGTTCCTTTGTCCCTTTCTCACTTTTCTTAACTCGTTAAACTAACTAATCTCCCCCTAAAATTTGAGCACAGAAGCTGAAATGCAGCTCGGCTAAACCACACGTACATTGGTGGGCTCGGATGAGAAATCCCCATCTGCACTTATTTTTGACAGACTGTGCCATCCAAGGAAGGATTCCTCCTAAAACAGCTTAGCATCCCAACAGAGGGATGAAGCCGCTGCTTCCTCACTTCACCCTCTCCCCATAGCAGCAGGGTCACAACCAGCAGCCCAGATTTTATTTTGTATCCCTGCCAGAAAGGCACCAAATCAGCCAGATTAGCCTTAAAACTGGGGCACTAAACCCTTCCTGTCCTGCCAGATGGACCACAGAGATGCACACCTGCCTCATGTATATATATCCTATATTAGGATATACCTTAATGGCAGAAAATCCAACCATGAAGTAGGAAGATGAACCATGATTTTTGTGTGCATGACCTGGGGTGGGCAGTAAAGCAATTTTAGTGGCATAACATGACTTGCTCTGCTTGTGGTCCCTGTCCTGCTCATCCCCATAGGTTCCAGCCACAAGCACCGATGTTTTCCTTGAGGTTTTCTCTTAGGAAAGAAAAAGTTGTAGCTGCAAAGGAAAATGTCTCTCTCCTGGCAATACACCCATGATGAATGAAAAAAGCAGTGAATAAACGAAGCAAAGAGAGGGGTCTCTTGCCTGGCCTGGAGGTTTTTAATCCGGGAAAGCATGTCCAGGTGACCAGCTGAGTACTGCTCAATGACATCCATCACGTCGTAGGGCCGAAGGCTTTCCTTAAACTTGCGCTTGGAGACGAGAAATCTCATAATGCTGCAGGAAATAGAGAGGAAAGGCAAAATTTAGTCCCTGGGCTGCAGCCTGACCTGCTTAGTGGCGGATAAAAAACAACACAGGGAGCTGCTCTGGGAGGAAAACGGAACAAATCCCAACCCTGCGGGTGTGGAAGAGGATGTGACAATAGGAAAGGGGAAGGGGATTGCGGGGGCTGGTGGCTGAAGCCCTGTCTGCAATGGGGGGTCCCCGATGCCCCTTGGGCTATCAAGCTGCTCTGCATCATGTTTATAAATGTCAGCACTAAATCTCAGAGCTGGTGAGAACGATCATTTGGATGCATCCCTGCAGGGGATTTTCCTGTTTCTCCATTTATTCCTTCCCTCAGCAAAAATCGTCCTTTCTGGCAGAATTTTCTGTAAAGGAGGGCAGGCCACCCAGGGGAAAATCAGCCTGCAGCACAGACATTTCACCATTTGCCACCTCTCTTTGGACTTTAAATTTATTTTTTTTCTCTATTATTTATTTTTCTGGACCACTCCTCCGCTCTCCCTCTCTTACCACACTGCCCTGATGCTGACTTTCAGTCCTGGTGTCAAATCTTCCGTCACAAACTCACAGTTGCAGCTTTTGTTCTCATCAGGAATGTCTTCTCCGGGGAGGCTTGCTTCTGGATTTGGGAGAGGGAGGAATAAAAGATAACCCGTTACTATTTCCTGTGCTGCTGCTGTGAGAGGAAAGGTGAGTCAGATCACAAACAGCAATTCTAGAGATGTCTTTGCTGAGCATCCCAATGGGAGCAAGTCTCAAGATGTGTTAAGGTGACATCCAGCAATGCTCACTGCAGCTCTCATCCATCCCTAGATGCCTGACTCTTCCTCCTTTCCCCACCTTTATATTAATAAAACACTACTGTGGATGTCAGTAGGGGTTTTCTTATCTCTTATTACACTCCTATATCCGAGCTAAAGGACTGGAAGGGGAAGAGGCCCTACTTAAGCCCTCTGGCGTGCAGCTCTGCCCTTCCTAAGTGGAGATGTAGCAGACACTGGGACCAGACATGGCTCTGGGGTCCCACGTGGCACCCCGAGCCCTCACCTTCGGAGTTTTGCCGCGATGCCGCTCCCTTGATGCGGAAAGCTTGCCGGGCTCGGCTGCGGTCTCCAAAGCTCCAGCTCTTGGGCACTTTGCTCGGGCTGTCCTCGATGCTCTGGTCAGCGCTGGGGGACCTCCGGATGCCCTGAGCCTGTGGAGAGCCTTTCCCTTTGGTGCCAGCACCGCGGGGACTGGAGAAGACACGATCTTTCAAACTGACCTTCTGACTGTTCAGAGAAACACGTTGAAACAAAGACAAAAAGGAGACAGCAGGAGGAGTCATTCTGGAAACCACGCAGTCCTTCCCCACCAGCCATTAGAAACCAAGAGCACTTCCAAGCAGCAGTGAGATGTAGTTTTGCTGTTGGCTTTTTTTTTTTTTAAAGATATATATTTATTTTCTTTCTTTTTTTTTTTTAAGAAAGCATTGTAGAAATGTTTCCGCCATAATGAGTGAAATGGAAATGATTATTAAAAGAGAGAAAATAATGAGGACTTAAACAGAAGCCCCTCGTGGGATGCCAGGGCTGGCGGGACAGAATGACGTTAAACAATGAGGTTATGAGTCCTTAAATCACTGATCGGCTCCGATCACGAGCAAGGAAGCTTTTCTTTCACAACTGCCTTCCAAAACCCTATATCTAATAGGAAAATACCAATTGTAAAAAGCCTTCATCTTAAACTTTTAACTCTCTTGGAGTCACTTCACTTCTGGCGCTCAGACCTGGCCTTTCCCTTTCTTCAGCTCCTGCATTTCCTCCCTCCTAAACCACGTTCTGCCCCTTTTATAAATTCCAAAGAGTTCCTCTTTTTCCAGTCATGTATTCAAATACTTTAATGCAAACACTTAAACATACAACTCCTTTCAATCTACAAGCGAGCTAACATCTACCTACAGGTCCGCTACGGGTGTCATAAACATGCAAAGCAAAATTTTACAACTTCAGAATATGGCATTTCATTGCCGTTTTTCTATTAGGATCCCATTTCTTTAAAACCTTGCAAATACGGTTCAAAAAGAAGATCTCTCCAGAAACAGAGATGATCTCGCTGAGAAATAGTTTGCTGACTCGACTTTATTATTTTCCAAATTCTGAAATTTGTAATTGAAAACTTTCACTCAGATGAAGATGATTAATTTCCATATGAAAATTGCAAAACAAAAAAAATTTGTGATTCTTTGTAAAAGGGCAAATTTTATAGAAGCAGCATTGGTGAAACCAAACTGCAAATAGTTTTGGATAATTTGATAATTTCTAAATAGCATTTAATTATTAAAATACACTAATAATAGAGTGCAAGACACTTGCACATGTAGCTGATATTTTATGTATAGGCAAACCAAAACTGAGTGAAAACACGGATTTAATTTCCAATACTCTGTACCATTTGCAGTCACCACTTATCATTTTGCTGCGAATGCTCTGACTCAATCTGTGGGAAGAACACTGCAGGAATTTTGATTTCCAGGTCACCAACCAAAGACCTGTTTGTCTTTTTTCTGTCTCTCAGCAACGCCACCTCAAAATTCAGAGCCAAAGAGTCCTCCCTTTGCCACCAAAATTGTCACGAGGATCCTCGGTCAGAAATGCGCTGCTGATATTTGAGGCAAAGCAAAACGCAGCTCCCTTTTCCCCAGCCGCATCAGCTGTCCTGCGCTGACGGGAACAGACATTCGTTTTTGTCAGGAAAGGAAGAGGACGTGACTCGAAGACACACAGGGAGCAGATTTGTTGAGTAAGAAGGTGCTATTTTTACAAAGTCACTTTACATTGCGAGATGTCGAACATTTACAGGGAGAGAAAGGTGCTTAGGCAGCATTTTCCACATTTTATTCCCGGGATGCCAGGGAGGCACTGCTGCCCTGATGAAGCAATCAGGGCATGGGGAGAGTGGCTCCCAGGCTGCAGAGCAAGGCTTCTGTGGCCCTTGGCTGGGCAACAATTTCACACTGAAATATACATTTGACAGGGAAAAAAACCTGTCCATGATCAAGTTAGAAAAGGCAGAATTAATCCAATTAAAGATGCATTTTTAATTCTGTGACATTGTGTAGGTAAGGACTGGAGATTTGATTTCCAGTGTGCTGCCCACCTGCAGAGTCTGCCTGAAAGCCATGGGACCAACAGATGTTCAGCGTAGCTGAAAATCAGATCAGACATAGAAATCCACACAGGAATCTAGGAACAAGCATGTGCCTAAATACCTTTCTGGATGTAAGCCTTAGTCCCTAATGCTACCATAATCATCATACAGAACAAATCAAATGTTTAAAAGCAATTCTCATTCTGTGTTTCTTGGATTAGAAACCACACTGAAATTTTATTCATCATTTGATCCTAAATAGGCCAATTGGATTTTTTTTTTCTTTATTTTAGTTGATTTTACGGAAGAATATTCCTGGAAACTACTACATTTCTGTAGTACTAACACTTCAAACTACCCGGTCTTTTTAAAAAACAAGTTTTACAAAAATGAATCAGCAAGACACCAACATTTAGAATTCAAAGCCATCTCTTTGTGCCTCATCCTCTGCAGAGTTACTCCCATCACTGATCTCGGTGTGAAACCAGTTGCCTATCACCAAATAAAGCAGGGCCTTTTTTTTGGGGCCCCTTTTTCACTCCCACAATAAATGTGCTGCAAATGTTCGCAAGAATCACAAAAGGCAAAAAAAAGAAAGCGTTGAACTCAGTGAGGAACATGAGCGAAGAGTTTTAAGCCTGATAGCATGAGGTGCAACACTTTTACACATTAAAAAATCTCGTAGGAATTTGATGAACAGTAAAGATCTGGGTGGGTTTTGCTCCTGAGTACTCACTACTCAGGAAAAAACCCAACACCTGATGTAACTTCTTTGTTTTAACATTGACGACATGAGACAATATGAACAATTAATTGACTTTTCCCTTCTGCCATGCAATTCTCTCATTGGAAATGCCACCTGGAACCACATGCAAGTACAATCCCTGCAGAGGAGAATGCTGTTGGGGTCTGCAGGAGCTGGTAGGAAAAGAGTCCAAAAGAAATATAGACATATATAGAGATATATGTTGTCAGCTAATCCAAGATCATGTTCTCATTCAACCAGAAAGTCATGCAGAGTGACGCAGAGCGTCTCGGAGAAGCGGTACTTAGATGTCACTCAAGCAGATGGTGAATGAGCCTCGGCTCAGTGGAAGGTGTATCTGTCGTGACATGAACATGAGGAAAGCGGTAATCCAGCCACACACCACAACACGACCCGAAGCTTGCAATCATGAGAGCTAAGGGTGACAGGAGCATGGGGCAGACGCCCTGCTCGTCCCAGGGGGAAGGGGAAGAGAACAGTGGCTTTGCAACCAGAGACAAAGATTCTGGGAAGCCATAACAGCATAACTCGGTGTGCTTTAATTCCTAGGGCTTCATAACTACTTTCAGTTAGCATCTATTAAAAACATATTCGATAACAAAAAAACCCATAATGTTTCCAGGCTGACTTTGGGGGAGGTTTACAAAACTTTCAGCTTTTGACTTGAATTTAACAGAGGATAGAAACTGAGTTGACTTTTTCTCTGCTGCCAGTCAAAAAACAAGAGTTCATGCTGGATTAATACGTAAGGACCAATACATGGCCCCACAGCTGACAGAGATACTCTCACTGCATTGGTGGGTTTAGCATTTATGTTCATTTAGACCCAAGAACTCAGCACTCCACAGCAAAACATCTGGGAACCAACCTTCAAATGAGCTGCCATCAGCCTCCTCAGGATGCTGGGGGTTTGAGCTCCCACTTGGGGTTCATTCCACAGCCCTATATAGTATTTAATCAGCACTTTTGAAAAATGCGGACTCATGACGTTAGCAGTAATTTTGGATCAATAAAAAGTATCACCTGCAATTTTGCCATTGATTTTAAACTCCTCTTGAGTAATTGCTTCATTTTCTCCTTTCATTTTGTAGGCAGCAAACCTTAGCCAGACCAAGTTGGACTATCATGGAATTGGATCCATCTCTGCATACAAATGCAACCAGTAACAGTGTTCATTCTCTTGCAAAGCTATGGCCAGGAGAAAGAGGTTATCTCCTGCTGGGAAACGAGACTGGTTATAATCCAGAGTTTGTGCTGAGCTCATGGCATATATGAGAACAGCTTGTCAAAACCAGGCAGGAGTGAATGATAGCCTTTGTGGCCATCACTGGGCTCCTCTCTGATTGCAGACGTGAATTAGAGGCAGAAATGAATTACTAGAGACATGGAGGAAAGGAAAATATATCTAGAAGCGTTCTAGAAGTTTCTAGAAGCAGAGCAACCTGGGCATAAGGAAAACAGAAGGTCAGCCAATGATCGATGTCATGGTGAGTAATCCCTCTGCTTCTCCTTGTCCACAGTCAAGGTGTTAGACTTGGGTTGAAGGGAGTCGCTGAAATCATAACTGGGAAGACCAGAGTGGCACCATCCCTGCAGCCACCACACAAACCTGACCAAGCACGGGGCCTCGGGTCAGTGAAGGAGCCAGACCCGTCTTTAACCTTGGTCTTTGGTATGTCGCAGCACTGCTGTTATATCGCCACCCCTCTCTTCCTAACACACGGAATTTTTACCCCAAACTGATGTTGAGTGCTGTCAAACACCACATCACACAGCAACCTCTTGCTATTTGCCAGCTCAGCAGTTTTGCATTTCAGGAGCAAAGCAAAACAGCTAGATTGCATCTTCAAGCTGGCTGATTCTTCCTAAACAAGACTTTAAGGAAAACGCTACACCCAGACCTGCAGGCCAGTCAAGGGCTCTGCAAACACCTTTCCTTCCCTGGTCTGCCTGCGATTTCTTCCCACTGTCAGGTCTCTGTGGTGCCTTCATCTCTCTGAGTAAATGCCAGGAAAGTCTCTTACAAAGCAGAATATGATAGACCTGGTAATCTGGCTTGGTATAGTTAAATTACTGTCTAAAAATGCATGCATTATTGCATTTATTGACTTGAGATTGTTGGTTTAGTACATTAAGAAACCACGGCTTTCTAAGGAGTTTTCTATTAATTTACCTACATTGAGTTTTTCATGATTGCCTCATCATTTACTGTTATTTTGTTATATGCATCCTAGATGAAGGCTTTTAGCACTCAGCCTTAGATGCTTTAAAGTGCTGGCATGTGCCTCTAAGAGTTAGTGCATTGGGGACTGCAGGGAGGCAGCCCAAGGGTCCAGGAAAACAAGACATTTGTATTTTTATGTCCCTTCAAGGTTAACCTATAGTTGTACTGAAGCACAGTGTGTAAAACACTACATTTAGGATGGATGCAGGTTAACAAAGATGCTCATGTAGCTGCTCCAAAGTTTAAGACTCATTTTCGACTGGAAAAAACAGAGTCTATAATCCTCCATCTTAGGATCTCCAATGGATCAAGAAGATCTTGAGATAACATTTTTTTTCATCCTCCCTTTCCCTTGCAGAGCTCAAGATGGGGGAGATGAAATGGGGACCACAGTGGGAAGGAATTCAGTAGAAAATAGAAAAAAATATATTTGCTTTACCAATTCAAAGTTCATGCCTAGGAAGACATGCAAGGAAGGCATTAAGATCAGAGTGGCTGATTTTCCAGAAAACAGAACTGGACATGCACTGGTGAGAGGACAGCACTACAAATATCACTGCTTGCTTTAATCTTGGCCAAAACCAACATCAACGTTGATTAATTGAAAGGCACCTTTCTCTGGGGAGGAGTCCCTGCTTGCACTACACAAAGTATTAAACAACCTCACCTGACAAATATAAACTCTACAGAAGTCATGATAATTTTTTGTCAGCTAGACTGTTGACCAAATCGCTGCCATTTGTAAATATATTGAAATGCTGTCTGTGCAACTGATGATCACCCAATATATAAACCAGTCCCTTCAAGGACAAGCTTAAAGGAAGGCCATCAAAACACATAGCAGGAGGCTAACTCAAAGATTGAGGCTATCTATCCAGGTACAGGGGATTTCCTACCATGGAGAACTGCTTATTACGAAACCTAGATCATGCCCCTTGCCTTGTTACCCATTCAGAGATGGGATTTACCACACTACTTCTGAGCTCCTGGTACACGCAAGTCTCAGGCACGAGTCCTAACCTTTAGTCTGACAGATAATAAAAATGGCCAGCAGGGAAAAAAAATAGCAAGAAAAGAAAAGATACAAGTTGGAACAATTAATGAAGAAAATCAGAGATACATATATTTTTTAAACTGTAGAGGTTTACAATTTTAGAACTGTAATTTGTTGGCTTTCTGAGGGAGACAGAGACTGGTGATTTTGAGAATTAAAACGGACTCCAAAAAAGAGCATGCAAAAATCCGATTTCACAAACATGCGGCATCACTCAGTGCCCTGCCCCTCCCGGGCATCCACTGCCTGGCTGCGGGGGTCACCTGCCAGCATTCACAGCATGCAAACTCTGGGTCTCGGAAGTTCAAGAAGGTGCATGTTTGCTGCTGAGAAGCAGTGTCTGGGGTGGGGGACGAGACTTTTCCAGTGCAGGCGTGGAAGTAGACGCATTTATGCATAAGTAAAATAAGATGTATGTATCTGCTGTGTACCTTTATGGCCATTAGATGGGTGCACTAAGGGAAGCTCACTGGGATTTCTCTGAAGCCACCTAACAATTGTCAGCTTGATGAAAAAGATGAAAGCACTGCTGGTACGAAACCCTCTGCTCTACCTATCTGTTCCCCACGGGATCTAGAAACAGAACCATTCGCAATGCCAACGTCAACGCTGAGGGGAACCCGTATCCCCTACGTCTGGTGGGACAGGCTGAGATTAGTCCTTCTCTAGCTGCATAGTAGAGGTGCTAGATAGGCAAGCCATGGCTTCCAACGGCCACAAGACTAGGAAAGGTCAATTTGCAGTGTTCAGAGAGCCAAAGGAATGGTGATTGAGCAGAGGTAGGAAGCTGGTATTTCTCATGCTACTAACTTGATATTGCTGTACAGTGCAATTCAATTTGCAAGGATTCCCTGGACCATGAGGAGGGATGGAGTGACAGGGAGGAAGGGGTCTTTCTAAAAAAGAAAATTATTTTTTTAATTTTATATTGTTGTTTTTTAAAAAATTTTCCATCATTTGTTAAACTTCAGTTCCTGGCCTCCTTCATTGCTGAGCAGACACTGGCTTGCTAGCCCAGACCAAATTTCCCATCCTCGTCTCTTTGAATCACGTATTCTGCATGATTAGCAGATAAGGAAGCCTCTAAATAGTGAGCAGGCAATGGGGAGGCTCTTTCACCTTTTTTTTACTCATCTAGTACCTCTATTAAGCAGAGAAGTGATCAGAACGGGTGGTAGCAGGGTAGAGGGAGAATGAGCCGTGCAGCTTTTGATTAGTTCCGTGCGACGCATTTCCCGTGGTACCTAGAGTTTCCTGAGCAGCATCCGCATAGTGACTCTCTGCACGGTTTGCTTTTACTGGAAATGAGGGGAGAGTAAAAATTAGACCTGGAAGCAAATGCCAGACAGGAAACTTTTGATTACTGACTCTAGGTTTAAAAGACAGGTGTTTTGAGGGCCGGGTTCATGACAGGATTTTTCTGTTTGAGCATTAAGTGAACAACAATTAAAAATCAAGAGGGTCTCTGAAATTTGTCTCGCTGTGGTCAATAAAGGTCATTATTAGAAACGATGCATTCTGCATTGAATTGGTGGCGTCAGTTCATCTATAATTGACTAAGTCCTGCAGGAAGATTTTTTCATCTGCATTGGAAGCAAAAACTACTCTTTTCTTCCTCTAAGGAGACAAAAAAGACTCTTTTTTTTTAATTGTCTAAGCCATGAAGAGCCAAAACTTTAACTTGTTTTGTCCAACAACATCCAAAAGGTTTGAATTTCTTTTTTGGTTTTTTTTTTTTTGGTTTGGTTTTTTTTTTCCACCTTACAAAGAGAGTTAGTTGACCTGTGAATTATTTGCACTTCTCATACAGGATATAGCATTATATTAAGCCTGGCATTTAAAAAAAAATAAAAACGATAAAAACAGTGTGTGGTGCAGTCCCTTATGGGAAGGGATTTAAACATCTGTGTTCACACATCTGGTTTTTTGTAATGCTTTTTAGACAGTCCCTACCACTTCTAGGGGGTCACTGGCTTTGCTGAGGCACCACCACAGCTCCTGTGAGCCCCTCCCAAATCACTGCTCAGGCACTGCCAGGAGATCGCCACCACAACCAGGGTCCTCCATGCCATGGAGCAGCCCTCTACCTGCGGAAGGGTAATGATGTGGCCCCCATCGTCCCACCTGGCCCCCAGTGGGCGTCACTTGCTGAGTTCATGGGCAGATTGAAAAAACTAAAGGGCATAAAAACCCAATCTCATTTTACACTTGAACTCGGCAATCGGAGGAGCTCGTGGGCACACACAGAAGGAATTTGCGGGAATTCCTTCTGCCCCGTGGCATCCCACACAAGCTCAGCCGACACCACCCTCTCCATCCTGGGGACTCCTCGGGTGCCTGCAGTGGGACCCCCACATCCCCAGAGAACCCCAGGGACCAGTGGTGCCACTGGGGCTGTTCTGGAGCTGGGGCCTGAGCATCACGGCGTGGGAGTGGGATATTCAGCATGCAGGCCTCAGGGAGACACAGTCCTCTCAGTCTCCTCTGCAGTCCCTATGGAAAGATGCAGTCCCTTCTGTGCAAATAATCCGCTCCCCTGAAGGCAACCGATTATTTCCAGATTACTGTCAGTCCCAGCATGAGTCTCTGACACCAGTTGGAAGGTCAAACGCCAACCCAGGCTACCATGGCCCATTGGACTCCTGTGATTGACACCAGTTTCCAGGTTGATGACACCTTGGACACCCTAGATTAGATGAGCAGAGGCCCACTGAGTCAACCAAAGGCATCCTCCAGTGCATACAAAAGCCTTAATCACACCCTGAACATATTAATGTTGTGTGTATCTCAGACAGACATATACATACATTGATATATAGATATACGCACAGATATACACACATATTACAAGGTGGCCCTCACTCAATGCAATGGCCAAGGTCTTGCTGAGTTCATTAGGGTCAAGGACAAACCACAGATGAGGGCAACCTTCCAAAGAGGTTCCTCTCATTACCCACATGATTGAACTCATGCTGGACAAAGTAATCTGAGTTTTAGCTTCCCAGTTCCCTGGAATCCTTCTGTTTCTTTTTCTCTGATATTAATGTATCATTATCATCATTTGGTTCATTAATTTTTAGCTTTTAACCCAATCTTATTTTGGAAAATACAAGAGGAAGAAATGTGGTCACGAATGCCTTCAGATGTCTATCAAACCATCTGTTAAAGAGCATCCAAAGTACACATTTCATACAGGAGCCTCCATAGTCCTGGCTAACCATATGTCTGTCTTTTTGACATTATGATCAGAAGACAAAATAAACAGAGACAAGATACCACAGCAGATTTCCAGCCTGATTAACATAGAGGTAATCAAACCCCATTATCACTGTGATTTGTTGGCTTTCTGCAGCAGGAGAGGTGAGAAAAGCCCCACCATGGAGCAACCCTCCTTCCCTGGGGTTATTTGGACCATGCAAGAGAGCAGTGTGGTCTCTGAGGCGTGATCAGTGGAAACTGCTCCTGCAGCAGCAGCCAGCCCAGGGAAGGGCAGCAACCACTTCTCCCGGCCGAGGCAGATGATAGGGTGGACACAGCGCCCAAAGCGATGGCTCCATAAGCAGTTTTGGTTTTTTTTAAAGGGAAGAAAATGAAAAGGGCGAAAAGGTACGCAGCATGTAGAAAAAGGCCAGTGTCTTTTCTGCTCATCACAGCCTGGGCTCCATGTCATGGGAGGTGAGGTCCCCCCGAGCAGGTCAGCACGCAGCTTCCTGACACTTGGTCACAGATGGATGCAGAGAAGCTCGCAGTGAAAAACAAAACATAAGCGATAGAGAAAGGACGTAACCTGCCTCTCAGATTGGCTGTCCCACTTTGTGCCAAGACCACATCAAAAGCCAGCCAAGTAATTCCAAGTGACCCCAAGCTTCCACCAGGTTGGCCCCATGGCCTTCCCGCATCCTCCCACCCCAGACAGCTCCTCTTCAAGCGCTGTTCCCAGCAGAAACCAGCACAACTACAGCAGCACTGGAGTCAGAGGGCAGCACTGCCACTGGTGTGTGGGCATTTGGAGTGCTCCTGGACATTGCAAGGTGATGCTTGTCCTGCACAGTGTGTTCCGACAAGCCATGCCAGCATCCCTTCTCTAACTTAAATCATATTAAGATGCAAAATAGTGAAAAAGCTCTTTCTGTTCTGTTTGCTCTAAGGACTTTGTGGTGTATCAGTTATGAAAAGAGGGACACAGGAAATCGGCCACTCCCTACAGATAACTACAACGGGAGGAAGATCCAGCTATCCCCAGATGAGAGGCTGTGTTTCCTTACATCGATGGAAATGGGAAGCGGGAAGTCCTTTACCAGCTGAAGCAATAGAATCTGCTGTGAGAGACGATTCATCCCGAGGAGTTCATTAAGTGAAACAGTCATCAGCGCCAGACCACTGCTGGGTGATTAACTGGTGGGTGGGCTGAGGAACAGGATGAGTTTTCTTGTCTAAGGGCAGGATGACACACTGAGCATCACTGGGAGGCTGTTGGAAAATAAAGTGGGTGGGAAATTTGGGACGGGAATGTAAAAGATTCAGTTTTTTATTTGGGAAAATAGGTGATTTGAGGCCTGCTGAATATAGGGACCACTGTGCAGAATTCCTTATTGAGGTCTGAGACATTATCAGACTGAAAAGGGCAGCGGGAGCCAGTGGAATTGATATAGCCCTAACAAAATACAGAAGGAAAGAGCTTTGGTTCTGCTATGGCAGCTGAACTAGACAATATGGAAAGCACTCAAATGCCACATACACGGCAGCTGCACAGTCTCATGTTAAGCACTTCTGGGCTTAGCTTTACAACGGAGAGCAACAAAGCCCATCAGCATCACAAGAGACAGATACACCGCAGCGGCAGGAGACCAGCATTTGGAAATGACCCTGACGAAGGGTTTCTCATAGTGAGAAATACTCTGAAAAAGGACAGTGACTGGCTACTTCTACTTATTTCTGTGATACAACATTAAGAAAACGATGTAGAAAATGAACAAGGAAAAACCTGCAACCTTTATGAATATATCCAGTGAAAAAGAACCCTGCAAGATAGGACTGAGATTCAAAAATGAGAACTAAGACTACTGCCTCAGAAATAAGAATAGGGCCTGCAACTGCAGGGATACTGGCTGGTGTGACCCTATGAAGGACCATCGGTCCTCATATTACCTTGGCTATAGGAGCTGATGGGTTTGAACAGAGATTTTGTCTCATTGCACAGCCATGTGCTGGTGAGAAATGTGGCTTTACCCTTTGATGCATCCAAAGTACATCACTGGCAGAGAAGCCAGGCCTCTGAGATTAAATGCTGACCCTCCTGATGCTATGGGTGGGTGGCCAAGGTTTCAGCCACCCTCAGAGAGGGCTTTCTGTTTTAATAATGCTGGATGGGGGCTGCCTTAGCCCTCACTACACAGGCTGAGACCCCACGTAGGAAAAAAAGAAAAGCAGTTCTGGATAGTTGAAACATGATCTTGGTGATTTGGTTTATTTGGCAGGGAAGCACTACAGAGGTTCTGCTTGCAAAGAAAAGCTCAAATTAAAGAAGAAAAAAAGAATAGGAAGAAACAAAGGAAGGAAGGATGAAATTTTCCTCTCTTTCATCAGCACCATATCTACCCAGATATCTTTGGTTGGATTTTATGCCAGGGAACAATTAGTTTCTGGCCTCTTATAAGCTAAAAGGCACAGCAGAAAGTTACATCTGCAAAATGCCTGGCTCTAGTTACACTTCTGAAAAACATACTCAGTGTTTACAGTATTTAGGCTGTAAGCTATGTTTTGAGATATGAGATGGAAGATCTGAAAGCTAAGCATCATCTCCACAGATCATCAGTTTTGCATCTTGCCTCACAAGAAAAAAACAATGAGATTCAGTCCCAGAATTACTTCTTAAAAGAACAGGGAAAATATAGGGGAAAAAAAATCCTAGAATTAAATACTTATAATGGAATGAAGAATATCCTAAAATTATCCCGAATATCAGCCCTGTTGCTTTCCCTGGGACATGTGAATAGAGAAAAGCTCTCCTGTAGGTGAGGTTTAGGGCTGGCCTTGGAAGGTGCTCGCCACGTCTCAGAGGGCACCCAGCTGAGCACGCTCTGCGCCGTGGGCTCAAGGCGTGGAGGGAAGACGGAGCAGGGGCCGTGCTTCATCCCGCAGTCATGAGGCCAAGGGAACGAAAAAGAGTGTCTCTGCCATGCAACCTCGTGCCATGTCAGAGAGCCCTTCTGTGTCCCACGGAGCAGCAGGTCCACGCAGCCCCGCACAGCGAGAGGAGCTGAGGAGAAGTCGCTAACTTGGTGACACGGTGATGGCTTCGTCTTCCCGTGTCACCCCCGCCTGGCACGGCGTTAGGTGATGAAGACATAGGCAAAGCATCACCCACCCATTGGCATTCACTGAGCCTGCATTGTACAGTTTCAGCTGTGACTCCAGCAATAAAATAAAGGAAAAAAAAGCAGCATAAACCAAAGTTCTGCCACCAGTAGTGTCTGCCAGCTCTGCCCGTGCTGCCCACTGCTTTCTTAGCCCCCAAAAACCTCGCTATCCTCGCAGCTACAGCCCGAGGCAGACTGGAAGGAAGATATGATTTAAGGTCCAGCATACACGTAGATACATCGGACTGCCACAGCACAGAAAAAGCACGGTAATACCTAGAATGCTTCCCTCGATGGCGCCAAGACATGGTACACACACGCACACACGTACATAGAAATCTACGGGTAATGCATGGGAATGGTGTGTCGGCAGTGATACAGACCTTGGCGATGGTTCGGGCTGCTGCTCTTTCCTTTAAACAGAAGCAATAGTACATTAGCATGGTGTCAGGTGGCAAAAGATGTTGCTGCTTCACTGTTAAAACAATACGAAAGGACAATACCAAACAATACAACTAAGTGGAAGTTGTGGACAGAAGAGAGGGAAAGGAGCACTTAATTCCCGGAGTTTCTGGGCCAGACAGAAGATCACTGGAGACTCACACAACCTCAGAGAAGACACATACAACGCACAGGGTTGAAGAGTTCATCCCAACCCATCCTTGTGCCTACATGGGACTGAGACGCCTAACGGTCGTGTGATTTGTGTGAGCACAGGAGGACTTCTGTGGGCTCAGAGAGCAGCCCCCTTCCTTTGGAAATGCACATAGGGACAGATCTGAATGGCTCCTGTGACCCTGGTGCATTTGATTTTCCTTCCTGGCCATTGGCACAGAGCTCATGTCACATCTCTTGATGCACGGCTTCATACTGCAGTGCTAACGCATGGTACTGGGTTGGGGGCATTGGTGGGAAGGAGTATGGACCCCTGCCCCAAGATTCTGCCACCCCCATGGGGCTTCTGCCTCCAAAGCATTTGGCAGCTGCTTTGTCAAGGCAAAGGCTACACAGGGGGAGTAGGATGCCACAAGTTTTGAATGCAGTTTCCTACTGAGATCCCAAACCACTTAATTAATTGCCCTGAAAAATCATTGATGTTGAGGACAAAGTGAGCTGAACACCTAAAGAAGGGCAGGGATAACACTGCAAGTCAAGCTAAGGCCACACCGAAAAAAATAAATCTCACCTTCACTGACCAGGCATCTTGGTGTCATTCCCCTCCAGCAATGAGGAAAACCTGCTCTGTCCTCAACTACTCTGATTCACAGCTTCTTCTCATAGGGAAATTGCATTTAATCTGGGGACCCGAAGCAGCCTTGCCCTTGCAGACCCATCAGAGAGGGAGCAGACTATGTTTCCCAGCAGATAAGGGTCTGCCTGCCCTAACACCAGTCTAAGGGACAAACCAGTCTGCAAGAAGACCTGGGCAGGAGGAGCTCGATTCCCTCTGAGCATGATGCTGTACCAGCCCTGGTCCTGCCTCCACCCAGCAGCAACCACTATGATGCTGAGACCTGCACAGACCCTGACCCCTTTCCCTGGAGAGACTAAAAAAATACCCCTTCACCCTCTGCTCCTTGCTCAGACAAGATGGGGAGCCCAGCCTTGGTCACTAGCTCAAATACACACATTTTAAATCTTGCAGGCTGACCCATGGGTCTGCACATCTCTGCTCTCTGCAGAGACACAGCCCGGGGCAGGTCTCATCCCACACCTTCCCAATGCTCACCGGCATGGCCAGCATCTCCTCTCCATCCCTCCCGGGGTCTGCACACTCCCCATTCACCAAACAGGGAAACCTTGCCTGCTTCAAAAAACAAGAATTAATTACCCCTCCTGAGCACACGTTTAAGCTGTAGGACCTCTGGCTTGCTGGGGCAATCATGTAGACCTCACTACAGTAAATTCAGCAAAAACTCGTCATTACTACGACCTTGCCAGCTCTCTGGGAAGGCTGGAGGGAACAGGGAATTAATTAACACATCCTGGGCCTGAGTCTCCTCTGAGGGTGGTGAAGAGCAGAAAGGTCAGAGGAAAACTGGGAACGCAACCTTGATCTGACCCTTTGAAAATACAACTTTGCATTTTCAGCCAAGCATTGTTACATTACTCCAGAGCCAATTTAGGCTGAAGAAATCCATGTACAGCATGGAAGAAGGATGGGGAGGAGGTCACTGAACGACCCATGGGGGACCAGCTGCCAAAACCTCTCACATCTTCAAGGTTGTCCATATGCAAAAGGCAGGAAGGAAAAAAACAATAGAAAGAAAAGGAAAAAAAAAGAAAAAATAATAAAAAAAGAAAAAAATTGCAAAGTGGGTGCTTTCCAAGCTGTCTTAACTCTGCTGCTAACCTGAATGTCAGTCCCGATTTGCTCTTCAGGTTCCTCAGGAGCTCCAGCTGGTTCAGAGGAGGGATGAGTCTAAAGGAGAAAACAAAGACCATTAATATTCAGGCAGAGCTGATTTCAGAGCCTCCTGTCTGGGAAACATCCCCCGCTGCCCCATTCTTTCAACTAGAAACAGCTTCGTGCCATCAACTGCAACTGGGGGACAGATCGGGCAGGATGGAGAGAGCTTTGGCTGCTATGTCCAAGTGTCCTAAGGCAGAGCGGTGGGGGAAGAGAGAAGGTGACAGCAAGGGAGAGAGAGAAACTTGTCTGCACCACCAGATTTCGAACCTTCCAGGAAACAAGCGGCTGCCAGGGTTTCTGAGCAGCACGGCAGTGTTTTGGCAGGGGCTGTTCCACCACCTGCAGTTTAGCGGTTGGCATCACTCTGTTCACAGGTCAGTGCTTCGGCTGGGTAGTAAAAGTGGAGAGAAGTTTCAGTTTTGGAGAAAAATGGGGAAACTCAACTCTGCTGCTCTTGGGAATGTGGAGAGGCATGGCAGGGAGCAGCTTACAGGGCAGAGAAAACAAGGACCCAAGGTTGGGAGCATCCCAGGTGAAACAGCAGTGTGGTCTGGGGTCAAGTTTAGCCAATTCCCTACTGCTCATGTTAGGTTTGCCCCAAAATGAGACAAAATAATGTGTCATTGCCTTCTGGATCAGGAAAGAACCATGTGTTTCCATCCTTTCTCAGGAAGAAAAATAACCTGACAATGGGAATCCTGGTTAATAATTAAAAAAATAATATAAACCCCCAATGAACAAACTTTCTGTTGCCTATCCTGCTTTTGTGCTAAAAGCCACTGAATCAGCTCCCACATCCACTTTTGCTTTCTTCCCTCAAGACCTTGGAAGACTGGGGCTTGCTCCATAAATATTTAACGTTGATATTCAGTCATGTTTTCAACCAAGAGAGATGAGAGCTAAAGGTGTCGGGGGAAGGATGGAGAACACTGCACATGGTTGGGAAGAGTAGCATCTACTTAAGAGAGCACTTGGGGTCAAGGCCAACGGGACTCATCTTATGCCTGTGCAAACTCCTTTCCGGGCCACCAGAGTGCCCTTGTCACAGTGTTGAAGTGCCACATGCCCTCACTGTGCCCAGAGGGGAAAAGTCAGCACAACAGCTGCCTCCAGCCACGGTTGTGACAAGCAAGCGGGAGGACACATCATGGCAAGGATGAAGGAGAGGACGTGGATGCTGACGGGGTGCATCTGTGCAGTTGGGACCACAGAGCCCAAGTCCAAGGCAGTAGACAGTTATGGCTTTGCTGGAAAATGAGCCACAAAGATTTTAATGAAAGCAAGAAGGACCTACTCAACCTGTCCCAAAACCCCAACTTGGGACTGGAAGGAAAGGGGTGCAAGTGCTTGCACTCCCCTAACAGACCGGTCTCAGCTGAGGTGTCGTAAGAAATGCAGGGGCTGATTACTGTAAAATAAAGGCAGGGATATTTGTGCCCACATTTTTTTAGCCATTATGAGACCAATAGTTTCACAGTCTTCTTCTAACTGAAAAGAAAAAAACCACCAAAAAAACTCCCAAAAAACCAACTGGAAAAGCCTCTTCTTTGCATGCACAAAACTAGTCCTCAAAACCAGAGCTGTTCAGCAGAGCAGATTTGGTGTTCGCAAGACTGAGGCAATCAGAAAAATTTCCAATCTCAAGTATGGAGAAATGAATAAAAATAGGCCTGAAAATTTTGGCTCAGCTCCCCAGCCCAGCTCTGTTCACTTCCATCCAGACAAGAGCACATCCTGATCTGATGAATTAATGTTCCTCTTCATTCAAGACGTCAGGAAGAAGCTGACCTTGGTGCAGTGGAGCAGTGCACAAGTGTTGGGCTGTCACCTCCCTTCAAACCCACCGTAGATTTATTCCAAGACGGGAGAAGGCGGTGCATAAAATCAAGCACAAAGTGTACCTAGCAGTTAACGGAGGGCGCACAACTGCTCTTTGGTGAGCTGCTTTCTTGGGGAGGTCCATACCCAGCAGAGGACAGGACTTCAACCCCACTTTCTACAGCTGGGATCACAAATCTAGGACTCCCACCTATGCAAATCTCAGAGCTGAAAAGCTCAACTGAAGGATTCAGGCTCCTGAAAGAAGCTCCTTCCTCTGCATTAGTCCTTAACACAAGTGGCAGAATCTTGGGCCACGACAGAAGCTTCCATGCAAAGATGGAGACACACAAGCAAACACAGAAATTCAACATTTCTGTGGTAAGGTGATGGGCCTGGTACACGCGTGGTGCAAAAACCAACGTTTTACTGAAAAAATAGTTATTAAAAATGGGTGTAAACTCAGCCATGTACTGGACCCAAAATTTTATCTGAAGTGAGCTCTCAGTCTAACCCATGGTTACAAGAGCAGCTTGGAGAACAGCTACTGATTGCATTATTTCACCAGAACCTCAAAGAAAAACCAAGGCTCTTCACAGCATTTTAACAGAGCTGTGCTACAAAATGCTGGATGGAGGGCACCCTGCTCTGCTGTGTGCCCTGGGGACAGGTGCCACAGGTGCCACCGTGTCCTCCAGAGACATGGAGAAAGGACCTCCAGCTGGGGCATCTCACGTTTTCTCTCTCTCCTCCTGGTCTGTGTGTCACTGATTAGCAAGGGAAGCACGTTTTGGTTAAAGGGGAGCTAGGTGAGAAGGTCTGCACGTCACAGGAACACACACAGCTCATGCTACCCACCACAGCAACACTCCCAAGTCATCGGCTGTTGCAGGGGACCCAGCGGTACCTACAGCTGCTGCCATCACCCCTCCCAGTACAGCACACAGAAACACCACACTAACTCCAGGAGCCAGCTCCCCCCCAACCAGAGAGAAGGCAAATTTGCTATTCCTGGTAGCACAGATAACATTCAAGCATTTGGGGACAGTGGGGAGGGACATCATGCCTCCGGCCAGGACATCATCAAAAACCCACAACACGAGGAGGGCAGCAGCACACAACAGTGGGTGGGAGCATACACAAAAATACGCACACACCACGACACACACACACACAGAGACGATGATTTTTTTTAACAGCCTCAGTATGAACAATTAGGAAGATGGTGACAAGGAGATGGATGCTGGAATGGGATGAGGGCTTAAATGAATCTCCATGCTGTGCTGGAGTTCTTATTAGGAGCCCATGATTGCCCTAACCATGAATTTATGTCTCCAGCCTAAACCATTTTGCTTAGAACATCTATGAAGCTTAGGAAATAGTACATTGTAAGAAATGGGATGGAAGTTGCACATTCTTATGCATTCCCAGCACTAGAAAAACATCCAATTCTCAAAACAGGCTGTTGTTCAGGACAACAGGAAAATACAGTCATAATATTATACTTGCAATTCATTGATGCTATTTGCTGTAAATTACCCACACAAAGGGGTAAGTGTGATTTACCAAGGCTGTAAAACTTGCATCTGCGAAAACTGGAACAAGGTTTGGAAATCAGACACTAAATCACATCAGCTCTAACGGCATTAATGAAACCAGGGAGGATTTTAACTGCTCTAAGAACAGAGCCTGGCCCACGGTCTTGAAATACAAGACATTTATTCCCCATCTTAAAATACTGACTTAACTACACCTTCAGATACCCACCTGACATAAAATACGTCTGTGGTTTGAAAATCTACTCTATTCTGCAGAACCTGAGATAATATTATTTATCATAAATCTTACCCAGCCATACACAGGTCTTTTCCTTTGGATTCACCCCAAAAGGCTAAGTCCCAGATTGAATAACTGGGGCTAAACAACTGCTTGGCTCTCAGTCAGTCTTGGAAGAAAAAAATGAAAAAGTCCTGCTAAGATGGGACATCACTTTCCCAAAATCAGTCTGGATTACTAGAAGAAATGAATAATCATTTCAGTTTAGCACTCCAGATATCTCCCTCCTCCTGATGTTGTCCTCAAAAGCAGGCACAGCCATAATGTGATTTTATTTTGTGCCATCAGACCAGCAAATTCAGCAAACCTCACATTACCTGGTGGGCACAGCTCCTACAGCATGAAGGGAGATAAATGACACAATGAAGGATGGGAAGGAAGGGCCGGAGAAAGGAGAAGCAGGGGTGAAGATGGAGGGGAAATGGAAGTATGAACAGGGAGGTTTTCTTGTTTAGCATTGCATGGATTGGAGGAGGTTGGTAAGACCATCAAGAAATCATCCTTAAAAAAAGCAAGCTTATCAAGCACTCTCCTATTTTCCTTCCCTAAATTGTTATTTTGGCAGACAGTTTCCCAACAGTTGTGTGTACCAATAGCTAAAATGCACATGGAGGTGTGTGGAGTTGGTCTGTAGGCAGCAGGGATGGGGAGTCTGGTTTGGGCTTTCACTCATTCCTTTGAAAACACTGATCTTCAGAGGTTTCTTTTTTAGGTTTCTTTTTTTTTTCTTTTTTTGTTTTTTTTTCAATTAAAGGCTTTGCATGTTACAGTCCCAAACGAAGAACAAGGCGTGACATGACACACAGTTTCCAAGTCACATGCACTTCATACCTGGAGGCACCGTACGTTTGCGTTTGCGTGCTTTTCAAGTGTTTTCACCAAAGAAAACCAAAGGGATAAGAGAAAGAAAAACAGGGGGGAAGAGGTGGGGTGGAGGAAAGGGGAAAAGAAACAGAATAAAGAAAATTAGCATATGAACGAAGTGTATCCCCGGGAGCAGATGCGCTGTGACCAGGCTTACAGGTGAGCAGGGGAGGGTGGGCTCAGAAGCCACCGAGGGCCCATGTCACCCTTGGGGACAGGCAGCTGGCACCTTGCTCCAAAGCAAACGGGCACCACAGAGTGGGGAAAAAAGTGGAGGCCTCTGAGAGACCTTTGGTGAGACATCCACAGCCCTCAGTCCCATCAGTCAGAGACTCCTTGATGCGATGGGCGTGATGTCTTAGTGGGTTTTTTTTAGTGAAAACCAATATATAAATGTAGATGAGATCAAGGCCTTGTTCTCATGAGTAACGATAAAGAGCAGATTAGTTTTCAGCAAATCCAATGGCTGATGCATAACAGGTCACGATGTCTGGGTGCACCAAGCTACGCGTGCATTACAAGCCCAAAACCGTACCTGCGTGCACAGGAAATTTGGTTCCACTACATTCTGAATTTAAAAATGAAATCTGAGATACAATCAGAGGCCACCACGTTTTCCCCAGACGAGTGAGACTGGCACTACTGCAATGATTTGAGTGATGTTCTGAGCCTCTCCAAGGCATATGTAACGATTTTCTCCTATCAAGCAGACGGTCTTTTTGGCGATGCCTTGAGAAGAGAGGCGAGCTCAAGTCACGAGGCTCCTGCTATGAGCAATGAGCAGCCCAGTGTTGAGCAGGACGGGTGCCAAGGCAGCAGGGACTGCAGATCACCCCCAGGCACCCGGGAGGGAGATGGGGATATTGTGTTCCTCCAACCCACTTCCTAACCACGGCGTGCACTGCAGCCTTAACGTGGTGCTGGGCTTGACATGGTGCAGGGGCTGCACCAGCGCAGGGCTGCCCACACACTTAGAGAAGTGGGTAGACGAGGATATATGGACAGTGTGAGTGATGGAAGCTGCAGCCAGAACATACAGTTACCCCCTTTTAAAATAAAATTTCCTGTTAATTTATCTGACTGCATCCAAAATATATTCAAAACAGCTCAGGGTGATGCCTGCTCCTTGGGGCCGGTGTTGGGAGCAGCACCCGCAGCATCAGGCACGGAAACCTCTAAGATCTTGCTACAGCTTTGTCCTGGCTTTTTATCTGACATAGCTGGGCTCTTCACCAAACCACTTTTTTTGCTTTTTCTCCACCCCAATTTTTTTGTTTGGCCTGTTCTGGAGATATTCAGCTCTATTTTCTTCCTATATATTAGTTCCATAGGAAATACAGGTTTTAACAAGTAGATTAAGTAATTACCCCAGTACATCCTCATGCAAAAGGGTGTCCCTGTATGTCTGGCTGCATGGTAAATTTAGTCTTTCAAAAAGCAGTAAAACCTGACAAAGTCCACTGAAATCAGCCCCTGGCTTTCTACATTTTGCAGTGGACTTTGGGCCAGGCTCTGGTCCTCATCCTCTCCAGTAGCTGATCTCAATCAGCACCATTAATGAATGGCAAGAAGGTCAGATACTAGGAGGGAGAGTTTCCATGGGTTTAATGCTATTGGAAAACAGTTTTGTTCTGTTTTATTGGGTTGTTGGTTTCTTGAGTTTTTTTTAAAGCAAAATCTTGAAGTCAGTTTATAAATCTCCAGGGAAAAAGCAACCGATCAGACACACACTGGGAATGAGTCCAATGAAAACTTACTGACCACAACAATGGGACTTCCAACAGGTTTTTAAGATGGATTAACAGGCTGGCCGCTGTGTTTCAAATGCAGGCTAACGCTTACCCTAGGCAATATATCCAGATTGTCTACCCGAGGGCTGAAAGTCATCAGTAACACGGGAAAACACAAAGGGATTCACAGCTGCACTGGCACAACCCAGTGCTGGAGCACAGCCTTGAGCAGGGGTGCAAGGAGCCCTATCACAGCCAACAAAACCCCACAAAGCTATGGGAATATCTAATGAGCACATTCGACTCCTACAAACCCAGAGAGATCTGGCTAGCCTCTAAATACACAGCAGAAAGGGATGCACAGCCCTTCGCCACGTCCCAGAGGGCAGCATGGCATGGCAAGGGGACTCCATCCCCATCTCCATGAAGCTCCAAATCCCCAGAAGCTGTGAATTCCCACAGCACTGCTCTAATCTGCGCCGTTTCAGCTGAAGGAGCTGCCTGATGACGAGTTACCTTTCCTCAAAACAAGCCAGATGGACGCTGCTAAAACACAGCGGTGTTTGATCAGCGTCATCCATCACGGCTCCACCGTCCATCCCTACCCCTATCAACAGCTTGTGATGGATAAATGAAATACAAGAAATGGGAAAACACTCCCTAAATCCTGATGTGGTTTTCCTCCTCTTTGAGGGGAACAAAAAAGGGAAGAGAAAGGGCAAATGCATGTGGGAAGAGTGTGGGGCCAGCCAAGGGAGGGACAGAAGTTTGCTGAAAGGCTGAAGGACCATTAGAGACCAGCAAGGAGAGCCCAGGCAAGGGCACAAGGAGGGTGGCATTTACCTACGGTCCTGGGCAGCTCGGGAGGGAGGTCTTCACACCTGGGCACGGCAACTGGCACAACACAATGCAACTACCAGCGGACGTGGAGGAAAAGGTGAAAAGAAGAGCACATACACACACAGACACGAAAAGAAAAACAAAACAAAAACAAAACAATAGGGAAATTAAAATCAAGTCAAAAAGAAATACACAAGAAAAAAAAAACCAACGCAAAAAGACTCCAAAAGAAAAAGCATATACCAGCCCTTAAGAGCTCTTGAAATCAACATTTTCAACCTAAAAAAACGTAAATGAATAAACAAAACTATATATCCAGATAACAAAAATCAATACGGAGACAGCAGCATCACGAGGAAGGCAGCAGAAGAGAGAGGTCGAGGAGGAGGTACCTGTACATGGGGACGGTGACGGTGCGCTCGTAGTACTGCCAGGTGGAGTGCAGGTCCGTCCGGGACAGGTTGGTGGCATAAAACCTCCAAGCCGCCTGCAGAGGGGACATGATGGGATGATGGACCCAGGCATGGCCAGCACCACCCTCAGTTTTGTCAACCTCAGCCAACATCAGGTCCTCCCTTTGTTTTCTGTGCGATGGGTCCAACATTTTGCCTTTTCCTTGGTTTGATACATGGTAAATTTGGGGTGGTACCATGATACTCCTGACCAAGTGAGGCCAGCTAAAAGTGCTGGGGGCACTCACTGCCAGGTTGAGGTCAGGTATCAAATGGGTGATGCTGCCCATCAGGGAGTTAAAAATTGGAGAGAGAAGAGCAGGGGAATGTAAAATTACTCTAATTTCAAATCACCAAGGCCAGCCTTCTGCACAGACATCTGTTATCATGCAGAAAATGCTCTCAATTGTAACTTTACATCAGTATAAATATTCTCTTTGGGGGGGGGGAAAAAAAAAAGAAGTTTGGTGAAAACAGACTGTCCTAATGCATTTGTCTTACTGTGCTGGGCTGGATTTCATTCCTTTTCTCCCCCAGATTGCCTACCACATATGCTATTTTCCCATGGCTGATTTCCTGGCATTTATTCCCAGACAAGACCAGTCACCAGCTGCTGTCTCACACCTTACACACACGGCCCCATTTTTCACCTGCCCATCTCCTCCCCTGCTTCTCCAAGTCTTTTATGACCTCCAAAATCAGGATGATGCAAGCCCAGGGCTCCTTGGATGTGACCCTCACTCACCTGAATCAGGCCCGCTGCTGGGTTTCGCCTCTTCTCAAAGTGTTTCTGTCGATGCTGCTCTTGAACCTTCAGGGCAAACCCCGAACCCAAGATGCCCTGGGGAAGACAACAAAAATTTGCAGTTAGCAAGGCATTGGCTAAGCTTCCACTTAAAATTCACAGCCAAATTACCCTCCAAAGGTTTGTTCTGGCTCATTTTTTTGCTGACAACATTCAGGGGGAGGAAGGAGAAGCCTCCATCCTAAACAGACACATTCCCCATGAAGGGACAGCTGACTCCGCTGGCACTCACTGGAATTGCTGCTTTTCCCAAACTACCTCCAGCTGGATGATAAAATACAAAATAACCACAGCTCACTGACATTCAGCAAATTATCTCCACAGGGGAAAAATCAGATCCATGCAATGCACTGAAAAGCACTGAGCAAAAGGGACAGGGGCAATTTGCTGAAAAAGGACAACCACCCCTCAGAACAGCCCTTTGCCGGAAAAAAATGCTTTCACTTCAATAAATATTGGTGCGGTGCCAAATTTAGAGTTTCCATGCCATTTGCTCAAAGCTGTGGATATTCAGACAGGGTTTCCCCTCTTCTCTCTTTTTTTTGACTCAAGCCATGGGGCAGTTGCAGTTGGGATGTCTCTGAGTGCATCATGCTGCTGAATATCACATTGTCACCAGCTCTGGGGACCAGGGACAAAGCAGAGCTGAGCCAAAACCTGCCCCCCTTCCCAGTAAGACCCTGCAGCCCCCGCTTACGGCAGGAAGGGCGAAGAAGGAGACGCCGATGAGAGTGAACGTTGCCGCCAGCAGCCGCCCATTCCAGGTCTGCGGGTACTTGTCCCCATAGCCGATGGTGGTGAGGGTAATCTGCAGGGAGAAGGAGATCACCACACAGCACCTTGGTCAGACAGCCCTAAAACTGACATAGCACGGCCAAAACTCTGGAGTGGGACATGGGAGATCAAGCTGAGGTGGAGCTTGGGCATCCAGGAGGACCTGGGCACCTCTGTGGGCAGCAGCGCTGCCACCTTCCTTGCTCGATGTGCTGAGGTTTCATGCCAGTCAGGAGCATTTTCTTGCCTTTCAGTGACACAGGGAGCTGTCATCTGGTGCAGAGGCTTGCGGCAGCTTGGAGCCTCCCCCGGGAGATGGGGCTGCGCTTTCGGTGAGGGGAAGTGAACAGGCACAGCTCCCCAACCCTCAAACTCCCTTTCAGCATCTCACAAAGGGCTATTTGAATGCATACAGATCTGACGCCATTTATTCCTAATCTTCCTAGCAGTGCCTATTAGCTGGTCTGCCCTTCTATTTAAAAACAGAATATTTATTTATTTATTTGTTTTTATTTCATCCCAACAGGATGAATTATGGCTGCTTCATGCAACCTAATTTAAGGATGTTTTTTTCTCCTCTTCAGTATTATTGCAATGCACCAAGAGAGCTCCAGCCAGCTGCTGTGTGCATTTTGAGCAAGGAGCAGAGAGATTTGTTGGAGACAAAGAATCCCCTGAACCCCAAACTGCAGGAAAAGACACATTTTCCCTCTTCAGTCCATGCATATCACTAGTGGGAAATGTTGGGTATCCCCTGAGGCTCCCGAGAGGATTTGGAGAGCTTGGGACTGGCAGGGAGAGGAGGGATGATCGGGAACAATCTATGAGATTTCTGTCCCATGGAGCCCAAAGGCCCCTGTGCCACATGGGAAATTGTCCCCATACCATTGCCTCCATGCTGATGTGGCTTTGGTACCCCCCACATTCAGCTCAGAATAGAACCATTTTTACACAAATGGAAGTATGATCCCAAAGTGCTGTTTAATTTGACACACTAAAAGCCCTATCAATTAGATGCCATTTGGACAAAGTGGTTAGAAAATGCATCTACGTGGCTATTCCTTGCTGAAACACAAAGCTGAGGCAATACGTTCTCCATAACCGCTGCAAAGTTGGTTGTTTTTTGTTTGTTTGTTTTTTTTTTACAATTTATATAGCCAACTACAAGGATTGGATCCACTAAGACCAGACCAAGGGATGAGTTTCTGAACCTGAAATTGGATGTATTTATCCCATCTCTTAACATCTCTCTGTACCAAACCTCTGAGTTGGATGATGACAAAATCTGTTTATTTTAATGAAGCTCAAATTTGACTTCTCAGTGGAAAAACAGCCTAGTGCCCTTTCATGTCCTGAAACAGGGGGAGATGATCCCCTGCCAAGGGCTTGCACAGCCTGGGGAGCAGGAGGGATAAAACTGCACATGGTTCTCCCCAGACCATGCTCTAATTGGGGCTCTCACTTTTCCCTCATTGTTTATTTCCTAGTTATGTCAAATTGGGCTTTGTTTTTATTTTCTGTCATAACCAAGGGGCTTGAAAAGCAATTTGCTGCTTCTTCCCCTTTGTTGGAACAGAGGAGCTGCTTGATCAGCTGATTCCTCCCCAAGCCTGTTACTGGGATTTGATCAGATCTGGGATTTTCATTACGTGCTTTGTAATCAGGGCCAAACGAGCGCCACGGTATCGGAGCAGAAGAACAATAACGCAAGAAGATTAGAACGTCATTAATTCTCTCTTTGTTAATCGGGTAATCCAATAATTCACATGCACGCGTGCACGCAGAGGCAAACTGAAAGTACTGCCCTCTCCTCCTTTGTCAGCACAGATGTGAAAGGGGAGCGCGTTCAGCGCTGAAGTCTTCTGGTGCTTAGACACTATAAATTTTATAAAATTTATCCCAGCGTGTTTAACAGTGTTGCCCAAGTATGATTTTAAATAATTAAGAGGTGGCGATACTTGTCAAAGTGACGATCAAAGCACTCCATAGCGTGGGGTCTTTATCCAACCTGCTTTCCTTGCAGCTCCAGCAAATTTGAGAAATGTGATCCCCTAACATTTCCTACGAGGTTTATTTAAGAAAAAAGAGCTAAATGGAGCAGCCTGAAGCCATTTAATAAAAATGTTAACTAAGCACTTGGTAAGTCGATTCCTCACGTAAGTGATAGAAGATGGAGGGTTAATGGACATTTTGTTTTAATAACCAGCAGCTGTTCTAGGAAAATTACTTACCAGACCCCACCAGAGTGCATCTGCGTATGTATCAAAGTGCTCATTTTCTCCTTTCTCGGCCAAGTATACCAGGAAGGAGGCCAGGATGAGGCACAGGAAGCCAATATACCAGGCAGTAATCAGCTCCTGCAAGATCATTAAGGGATAGAAGAGAGTAATTGCAATCCTGGTGTGCATCTCCAAAAGCAGAGTTACTTCTTTGCGGCTGGATCTGAGCTTTCTCTGCATTTGTTTAGGCTTTGGGACTTTGGTTGGAGATCAGCAGTGCCACAGTTGGAGACGGGACTGCTGATGGGCCTGCAATGCATGTGGGGCAGTCCCCATCCTGAAGATCCCATCATCTAAGCACATACAGTAAATGGAGAAGGAAACAGCTCTGTTATTTCAAAATGTGGAACTGAGACTAAAAAAAATTAAATAATTTCTCCAGTTCCTGCAAGGAAGCGGGATTAAAACTGAAATGGGAACCCCAAATCCCTGGACACTCTGCTTAGGGCAGGAGGAGAGGAGCTGCAAAGCTGGGGAGTGGATACAACATTTCCCAGCTTCAGGGAAGTTTTAATTCAGAATTCACAGGAGTGATCATTTTTGGATGAAGTTAATACAAGGGTAGTCAAAAGAGACCCACAAATTCCCAACGACTTTTACGCAGTTCTGGATAAGCTGACTAAGGTTTTTAAGGGCAAAAAGTGCAGGGACCAGAAGAAATGTTAAACTCATAAATTCAGCAGCAGGA